TGTGCAGCCCTAGGCCAGTTACTCGGCCTCTCTGAGCCTCCATTTCTACAGCTGTAACTGCAGGAATGCTTTGGAAACTGGAGAGTGTGTACAAGGCCTCTGGCTCAGGGCAGGCCTTCAACGCCGGGTGGGCTCTGCGATTATCCTCTGAACGATCCACACCCATTTCGGCTGAAGCCTACTGTGCCCAACTTGTCATGATTCTGAAGCTTTGGAGCCAGGGAACCACATTACACCAGCACAGGAGGAGAATCTGTTTCTTTGTTCCACCGGCCTTAAGGGAAAGAGCAAGGGCAGTGAGGAGTTGGCCTGCCGGGGTATTCTAGGGTCAAATGGGCTGGTTAGCAACAGAATTTGCTTTCACCTCCTGAGAGTGGCCCCCTGGAAAAAAAACGGGGGGCCTCCAGGAACTACAGATGCCTAAGGGGCACTGTTGTTTCTTTCTGAGATATATCCCTGTACGGTCTGGCCAAACTGCCCCCTACCCCACCCCACCCCCCTGCAAAAGACAGCTTCCCGTGCAGCCCCCCGCAGCAGGAGAGGAAGGGAACCGTTAAAGAGGCTGGGGGTGCCTGTCACACTTCTCCATAACCCCTGACGTGATGTGAAATTCTACAAGGTGGACCCTTTGAAATGCAAAATCTTCCAGAGTCCTTCAAATGTGTTTTTATTTTCTCGGGTTCCTAAGGCTGCTTTCAGACCCACCCATCAGTATTTCCCCCGCTCAATCACCCACATTTAACAAAAAAAGAAGAAGAAATAAAGGAGGAGGTGGTGGTGGTGGCTGCAGCAAAGACGTCTCTGTTTTTTTTTTCTTCTTTTTTGAAAATGCTCAAGTATCTCCAGTTGATGCAGGGAAGAAAAAAAAAAAAATCTTGTCCTCAGCTCCAGCCTCCTCACTTCCCTCCTCCAAGATACCCTGAAGCCAAGTTTCCCCTGGAAGATTTCCTCCCGTCCTAACCAGCACGGCACTAACTCTGCTGACACTTAGATCCCAGAGAGCTTTCTCAGACCGAGAATCTGGGTGCCCTCCGACCCGAGTTCGGGAAGGTGAAGGCAGGCACCACCAAACCACAGCCCCCAATTTTCGAAGCCCCAGCCTGGACCCAAAACCGTGTGCGCAGGAGGTCTGGATTAAACATCAAAGAAGAAATTACCTTAAAACAAAGTTGTTTGGCAAAGAAAATTACTTCACCATAAGAAGAACCCTAGGGAACAGTAAATTGCTTTTGAATATAGACTTTTCAGTGGCGCGGTCATTAATCATGTTAATGTAAACTGCGCTAAAACAAAAATTTTCTAAGCGAGTCTCCGGGCACATCAGCGTATCTGAGCCTCTGGGTTTGTTTCCAAAGCTCACATCCCAGCACGCAGTGAAACTGCTGTTAATGGGGTCAGCTATTACAGGGCAGTCCCCGACCCTGGGCCATAATAAAGGTGACTCAGCCAATGTAGAAAGAAAGAGTCCTCATAAAGTGAGGCAGGAAACAAACACAGAAATTAATCAGAGGAGGAGAGGCAACGATTTTGGAAAGTGTGTGCATGGGGCAAGTTTAAACAGCGGCTCTTCCTGGATGATCAGACATTTCAGAAAGGAGCCGAGGGAGGCCGGTCAACATTCCTCGCAGTGCGCACTGCGCAAGTCCCTCGGCCAGGCCCTGTTTCGCAGGGCGCAGGGCAGGGCAGCATCTGGACAAGACAAGGAGCATGGAACCCAGCAGAGTTAAGCTGCGCGGCGCCCAGCCAGACCCGGCCATGTGCTTCATGTTGGCAACAAACCGGCTCTTTCAAGAGAGGAAGGGGCTGACAAAAACGACAGCTGCAGTGAAGCAAGCAAGCTCAGAGGCAAAAACCTCAGAAAAAAAAAAAAAAGCCCCAGGTTTAAGAGTCTCCCCTCAAGACCCAAAAAAAAAAAAAAATTCTTTGGGGTTTGCAAAGAGCTAGTTAATCTATTAATGTCCCCCTCCCCCGCCACCACCACTTGCTGGATCGATTAAAGAGAGCCCCTCCACATCTGGCTTCCATCGAAAACTGAAACTTGTATTATCAGCATATTACATAACAAATTCCGCCTGCAGGTTTCTCTTACTTCGCACCAGAGAGGTGTGTGTGGTAGCGCTAATTGATGACAGTGGGGCTCGTCTGCGTGGTTTGCTTATTTCAGGTTTGGTCTGGTGTTTGTTTTTGTTTTCAGGGCAAGAGCAAAAAGTTTCCGGGCGGCATGCAATTCGAAAAAGTCACGACAGCAGGATGAAACATCAATTGAACGGCCGGCCAGTGGGTCCGGGTCTCAGGCCTCGGGGCCCAGCACCCCATCAAGCGGTGGGTGAGAAGGGTGTCCCGTTGAAAGAGCCCTGCACAGCCACACCAGGCTGCTCCGAGGCGTCCTCTGCTGCCGGCTCCCGGAAGGTACAGGGCTGCCTCCTCTCCAGCCTCCAGCAGGAGACGAGAGCTGGCTGGCCCTTCCCAACCCTTCCACCATTGGTCAGGCGCCTGCCCGTTGAACCCGCTTAAAGGACACGCAGCCCATTAGGCTTCCACAGAACTGGGGATTGGGGGCGGGGGGGGGGCGGGAGATGAGGCCAGGGCACAGTGAAGTCATCAACGGGGGGCCGAGAAAGATGAAAGGTGTGGAGAGAAAGAGCCTGAGAAATAACAGGCGGGGCTTCCCGTAAGAGGTCGATGACATACGGCCACTGTGACCACCCTAAGGTATCTTAACATCAAGTTCTTCCTAAGAGAACTTGCAGGACTTCCCAAATGCTACTACGTGTGTGACATATCGTAAATTGAAAACAGGAGGGAGAACCTGACTACACGTGATCAATCACAATTGTGGAGTGCTCTGCTTGTACTGCCGGCCTCAGGAATCCAGGTCCACTTCTGCAGCAGACGATAGATACTAGCTTTTATTGAAAGCTGGTCTTCAATGTTAAAATGGTCACGTGGTCAACATCACATTCTTGAGGGGAAATAAGAAGTCCTTGAGCAAAAGGATTTGACCCGGTCTTAAAACCACCTTGTTTTCTAGAGGGGCGTGGGGGGGGGGGGGGGAGACCTGCTCCAAGCCTGTTCTTAGTTTCCTAGACTGGAACAGCGCCCTGGAAGCTGATCGGCATGCCCCTGGGTCTGCAGGATGGCAGGCAGCATTCAGACCCTAGCCAAGTGCAGACCCTGGGCCAAGGCCACCAGTCCTGCACTTAAAACCCAACCTTCTCCCACGAAGAGGGGCCTATCCACCAAGGAGAGGTAGCTGGTTTTGGATTTTTATCTAGCTGTCGCCAGCTAAGGGGAGGGAGGGGGGTGGACGGGCAGGAGCAAACCCCTCCCCCCATCTGCAATTCAGTATCAAAACTGTAACCGAGACAAGTTACTGCTAAGTGGATAAATTAAAATGAAACCAAAACCTGACCAAGCCGGGAACAGGGAGTTTCACCAGGTCTACTAACTCCGTTCCCTCCCAAGTCCTCAAACCGGGTGACATCTTTCAACTGAGTCTAGGAGCTGGAGCAAGGAGGGATCCCCTTCCAGCCTGTGGGAAGTGCTGGGAACACATATGCTAGCATGTCATTTGGAAGTCTGCTAATACATTGTAAGCAGCACAAGACGCTCGCCTGGCTTCCCAGGCCAATAAACAATGCCATTCCAACTCCCGCAGCCGTCAATAGAAAACAGCCCCTTGTCTCCGCCATCCAACAATTCAACAAACATTTGTTCCTGTTGAACAACCGTCAGCCTGGCTCCATCTGCACCCGCTCCAGCAAGGCAAGCGCGGCGGCGGCGGCGGCGGCGGCGGCGGC